ATAACTTCCTTGTATAGCAGACACTGTTTTGTATTTCTTTGTGAATAAATCCAAACAGCAGGATGATTTATATGCTATGATGGTACAATTTACCACATGTAACACTGAGAACATAATAGTCTTCAATACTTTATTATTAGATTGCAAAGGGCAGGGCAGGGCACCAGCATACAGAAAGAAAGCTGATATAAATGGCACAAGACTCGTGCCAGTGGTTTGCAGGTGGTCATCAGCTCCATCAGCATCAGAAGTACTTGGTGGGATCTGATTTGTCACACATTTGAACGTGAACATGGGAAGTGATTCCAGGATAAACATTCTGCATTGGGAGCAGAGTTCCGATCTTCTGCCCTTTCGTCAGGGTCCCAGAGTAACTGTCCGGCTTAACATAAAACAACTTGAAGCAGAGACCTGCCAGAAAGATCATGTGGGGAGATTTGAGATTATTGTGAGATTATGAATTTAATGTAAGAAATATTTTTCCACATGTCCTATAATAGTAGTAGTATTTTATCAAACAAGCACTTTATTTTCTACGAACATGAAAGTCTGTAAAAGTAAGTTGTGCTACATTGTTATTAATGCTTTTAGAACATTAAACAGATGTGAAGATGTAAGTACAAACCTTCTCCGCTCAAATTAATGCCATCATTGATAGCATTGTTCTTTTTGTATGGTGCAGCTTTGCCGTTCAGCTTCACATCAAATGGAGCATAAACTGTGGCTCCATCAGCACACACAATGTCAAGACCCTCATGTTTCCGTTTTCCACCGCCTCTGCAGCACAAACATGTATAAAAGAATACTTCACCCCAAAGTAAACATTCTGTCATCATTTACTCAACATGATCAAATGTAAGTTTACAAAATCTTCTTTCCCTCTGATCTACCTCTAAAATCTTAACGTACAGTCAGACACGATGTATCAAGTTAGATATGAGTTCAGTGTCATCAAACATTATTTGTTGTTGTGTTTCTTGTGACAGTCGTTCAGTGAATAATAATGTTAGGACACATCAATTTCCACTGTATGAAAAAAAGGCCTGGTCTGTCTGCAAAATAACAAGATACAGATTTTAAACTAAATGAGGGTGTGTAAATGATGATGGATTTTATTAGTATGTTGTCTATGGCGCAGATTAAAGATCTTTGGTAACGTTGGGTAGTGTCAAGTTCGTGTGGTAACACACTCAAAACAAAAGAATGATATCAATATATCATAACACGGCCTCCACTAAATGTGTCATCAATGACTTCTGGGAAGAGCTATGAGGAGAGGTCAGAGAAAACTACATTTGTTTGAGAAATAGAGTTCTATATAAGTGGAGTCAGAGGAAACACAAACAAAACACAATTTACCGGCTGGCCCCATAGTTTCCACAGCCATACTTCGTATCACATCCTCTTTTACGGTTACTTGAGTTCCCACTGCAGAGGGGGCCAAATTTCACTGTGAAATGAAACGAATTTCCTGTGTTACTTTATGCTCTGTCTGTCTTTATATTTCTCTGCCTGTTTGTCTTTTTCTTCATTTACATTTCATACCTTGACTATCATCAACACGACAGCTGCAAATCACTGAAAAAGAGACACACATTGAGACTTTATTTTGCATAATTACTGTTTTTTGTTTAACTGTTTTTGCAATGTTTACTTTGCATGTTTACTCTTTTCGCAATGTTTGTAATGACACACCATAAAGCATCAGTAAAGTTTAGCAAATCTTATAATGTAACAATAAAACTCATTGTAATACTCATTCTTGTTTGCGAGAAAATGTTTCCTGTATTTAATTTAACCTTAAACACATTAAATCTGAATTTAGAACATGAATTATGCTTCATTCATGCCATAGATTTGTGCTTCTTTTTTTTTTTACTTATAAGCAGCATTTACAAGTTAAGTTGTAGGATCAAATTGAAGGGAATCATTTTTTAGGCTTAAAGAACATTTTCTAGTATAAAGCCAATGTCCATTTTTCAATTAAATTGTAATTTCTTACCAGCCAAAAGCAGAAAACTGAAAAGGATGTAAAGTCTCATAGTCCTGTAAGTGTTTGTTTTCAGATGCTATCTTCTCTGCTGTCGTCCTCAATCTGGTAGGAACATTTAACTGTGAGGTTTTATATTTTGGCTGGAGTCATGTGGAAATTCTGTGGAAATTCTGCTTTCAACACTCGTACACACAGTCCAAACACAATGACATTGCATAACAGCCAAAAAGGGAAACAACAGACCACTTTCTCATTTAAATACATTTTCTTTTGCAGTGAAAATAAGCCAGTGCAAAACATACAATGAAAACTAAACTCTTACAATCACTCTACTACGACCATTTTATTTTTTTCTCATTGGATATTGTTTTGTTTGGCTTTGTCAGTTATTCCACCTTGTGCAACTAGAGTACAAATGTGGTGGTAAAAAAAAAAAAATATGATAAAAGCTCAAAAGAGTTTCAAGAGATAATTTGGTGCCAGTAAATGTTTATACATTAGGATGGACACCAGGCATAAGCTATTGATTACGTTTTTAGTGTAAATACATGTAGTACATAGTGCCACTTTATCAATGTTTAATCTAAACCGATTGACAGTGTGCATGCTAGTGGGGGAAATACCAGTTTACCAATGAATGTTTGCAAAAAGCAAATAAAGTCTGCCCTTTTGTTCTTCTTAAATAAATACATTATAAAATCACAACACTTTTGAATCACTGAATGTGGGAAACCAAGTGAACAAAATACACTGTTATTAATGTCATTAGACGTTTCAGTGACAAGTAAGAGTTTGTGGAGCATGTCTATATCATTAAAGAAGCTAATGTAGAAGTCGAAAAATAAAACGTTGAATTATTGCAGTCTGATTGCAAATAAACCACAGCACAGAATCAGTTCAGCTTTCAGCTGTTATGGCCAGCTATTTCATGTTTCTCCTTTTCTGTTTCTGCTGCTTTCTTCAACAGTGACAGGACAAAGCGAAAATCAAGTAGAAAGACAGTTCAAACACAAAGCAAGAGGAAGAATGAAATCAAAGGACCGTTTGTTGTTGTGAGTCAAACTAGGGTATGCTAACTGTGTTATTACAAACCAGACATACATACTCTTTTGTGTGTGTTCATGAATATAATAATGCACACTTTTGTATTTGCCTGTTTGTCAGTATTGTAACAAATAAATAAATAAATAATAATATTAAAATAATAATGTTGTTAGACTGCGCACAATTTCCACATTGATAGTTTGCATTCTGAATCTGAATAAGTAGTCTCAGAGATTGACAAAGAAACTTACTGTCGAATTGGCCATGAACTGTACAACCACTTACATTTCTAGCCTGTTTGTAATCAATGGCGGGTACTGAAACAGAGAATTTATTTCTGGATGGATTGTAAAAATGGATCGTATACAATAAGACATAGGTCAGTACGTTGCAGTTAAAGTAAAAGAGTATGTTTCATTTTGTGGAAATGTAATCATCTTCTTTTTAAGCAAATCTGCATGTTTTATGGAAATCTGTCATAAACACTTCATCAGTCCAATCAGGTTAATATCCACTTTTTCAAATTGTCTTTATCTTTCTTTTCTTTAAAACTGACTCTTGGTAAGTCCCTTTTTCAAAGAAAACTAGTGGCAAGCAAAAGAGTGTTACAATTTGTATCCTTTGTAAATAAAGGTTATATACCTTCATTTTTCTCACCACATGTCAAGAAAGTGTACATGTAACAGAATCACTTCCAAAGTAAATTCCAAATTATCCACATAACTTTGTGGAAATTGTCACAAATTCATGAGCTGTAATGATGACCCATAAAGATATAATATATCATATCTATACCATTTTAGGATACGTGGAAGAAAGGGATTAACGTCACTATTAAATACATAAAAATGATCAAAAAACCCCACAAATAAGTTGGAATAATTTGGGGCAAAAATTAATCCCATTAACATACCACTCACTTGTAGATAAAAATCATTATCAAAAATGAAAGACATAAGAGGCCATCTGTATTAGAAATTCTAAAGGTGGACTCACTTCTCCTCGGTGAGAAGGCAACAAAGAGACACTTCTCATGTGAAATATTTGTATAAAGACTAGTGATATCCAAAGTTAGTAACAAAGATATTATATATATATATATATATATATATATATATATAGCATCACAGAAAAAAAAAAAGAATCACAATTCAATAAAAAATAATATGTTTTTGATCATCATACACATAAACTGGTATGTCATACACAGGTATATGAAATATTGTAATAAAATATTTATAATGTGGGATTTAGTTTTTCAGTTCTCATATCAAGTCATATTGAGGTGTTTCTGTTTGTTAAATGTATACAGAATGAGCATTTTCAGATACTGTAGTCAATTAAGCTACATAATCATGAAATATTTTGGCATCTGTCCATTTCATTTTAATTTTGATAGGTAATGGGAAAGAGGAATACTTTTCAAGCAAATCATTTTACAAAAATACATTTTACATTATAAAACAAGAAACTGTTCAAATATATATATTCACATTTTTGGTTGTCATGTACATGCACAAAAAAAGCACAAAGCAATCATCAGTTCTTGACATAAGAGACATGGATGTGGATTTGATGTGGTTCAGTACTTCCTACTTATTCAGATACACAGAGAAACTATTATTTTTCATACGTTTCTATTGTAAAAACAGCATCATAAAGGCATTTTAGTCCTCCATTTGCTAATTAATGATTAATATATACACCACAATTGTATTGTCACATGTCCAGTATACTGTATATTACATGGCTGAAATATACATTACATTTTACCTTCCAATGTTTGAATTTGATAAATGTATTCAGTTTTTAGTTCAGTTAAATTAAATGAATTATATATTCCACATTTGTTTTATGTATATATATGAATAGACACATCTTTCATTATTGAACTAAATTCACTATAATATAATATAATATAATATAATATAATATAATATAATATTAGAAGCTCTAAGGCTATTTCGCACTGCTCCTACAAACACTGAATTGTCTGGGTTTTGTTGGATATCTGCATGAAATGCATGACTGTTTATATCAGTGTTAAAATTACAATTTTCCACCGTTATTAATCTAACAGTCAACTTTAGGCCCTGGAGCTTGCTGAGCCATCTTGTGCTTTTTTACAAACAGCATTCAACGCATTCAAATTTTAGATGCCAACATGCATTTGGGCCGTCATGCAAGAAAGCCTGAAAGCATGACTACTGTTGTATGTTGCCTTGCCTCTTTAAATGTTTTTAAATATACCTATTTGTCTCTTGTATCACAAATGACTAAAGGAAATAAGGAGGAAATGAATTAATATCTCCTCATGCCAGTTGAGGTTTCTGTGCAAATTAAACTAATTTTAAGTTATATACATGGATAGGCAGACTGACAGATGGGTGGACAGACAGCTCTATATGGTAATCATTCAATACGCCCTAGAATGATTGAGTATATAACCTGATATCTTCAGATTTGCATGCCTGTCTTGCTAACCTCATGATCAAGCTGTTCCTTCAGTCCTGCTCATCTTTGATAGTAAGGTCATCTTTGTCCTAGATTCTGAGGAGGATTCTGAATCAGACCAAAAGCATCTGAGGGTCTCCCATAACTTCTTTCTGAAATCCTTAGACACATAATAAAAGATGAAAGGATCGAAGCAGCTGTTGAAGGTGCTGAAAGACAAAGTGATCTGGTATGGAACATAAAGGTCAAAGTCTGATTTGGAGTAATGCAAAAGCAAGAGAATGTTACTAGGCAATAAGCAAACCACAAAAACAATTAACATCAGCACAGTCACTCTAATTGCATGAGCAAAACGCTGCCCTTCAGCCATAAGGGTACGTAACACTGCAGAATAGCAGAACAGCACAACCAGCAGTGGAAGCAGGAAACAGAGGGAGAAGAGAGTGGTAAAGTATGGCAGGAAGTAGTTTTTATGCTGTGCTATAGGTAGTACATCATGGCAAGTTGTTATAGGAGGGTTGATTATCTTATAGGACTGTTGTGAGGCTAACAAGGGCACAACAGCAGCTAAAACCACTATCCAAACCAAAACACTCATATAGACAGAATTCTTGTTACTTCTAAGCATCTTGGCACCAAAAGGGTGAACAAGAGCTACATAGCGATCCATGGCGATCAGTGCCAGACAAACCACTGAGCCGTACATGTTTCCATAGAAGAGCGCAATTACAACACGACAGAATGGTTCTCCAAATGTCCAGTTGTTGCCGAGGAAGTGGTAGACGATACGGAAGGGGAGCACCAGCAGTAGCAGAAGATCGCAGATGGTGAGGTTGATCAGCAAAATGGTGGATGGGAGCTTCTTAGTTCGCAAGAGCAGCACCCAGAGGGCCAACAAGTTTGTGGGAAGCCCAGTGAAAAAGGCGATGAAGCAGAGAAGAGGAACCACTAGTGTAAAGCTGTAGCTCTGCATCTGCTCCTTATACTTCTCTGGAATAGAATCGTTAATCAGAGGCAAGGCCCGAGCCCCTAAGAGGAGGAAAGACAGATTTGTTAGCCTTATTTATATCTTGTCACTTTTCCTAAGAATGGCAGAATAGATTTATTCATTCAATCACAATGTAGGACCACCCAGAAAGCAATCAAAAACTATTAGATATTGAATGTTATTTTCTTTGTGCTTGAAAAATTAATCGAGTCAGATAGACATCATTTGCTTAAAAATTACAATTTTCTCATCATTTACTCATCATAACTAATCAATTACTGCAGGGGTCGGCAACCTTTTGGGCATGAAGTGCCATTTTTAATTTTTTGTAAATAAAGAGTTTCTTTATTTTAATTTGAAATTAAATTAGACCACTTTATGTGTGTGTGTGTGACAAGGCCAATTGTGCATTTAAACCGTTCAGTTTAATCACCGTTCTATATTAATGCGCTGCTTTAATTGACGCACACACACAAACACAGATCGCCTGGCGCACATAAAGAAACATTCAGCAGCACAGAACTTGTCATCTCTGCCCCACGACCTTCATTAATAAAACAGCTTCGATACTGAATTACTACTTTATATTTCTCTGCAAGACGGGGGTAAAATCGATGTTTTTGAGAGAGATGAAAGTTGCGTGTGTGAATTACCTCCGTCTGTGTCTCTCTCAAACAGTGAAGCTAAGTTTAGTTAGCCTACTTTAGTTACAAATTTACTGGCACAGTGGTTAATCAGAAAAATTTAAAATGGCACTTCATGCCCAAAAGGTTGACGACCCCTGGTCTAAATGATGAGATGAAAAGTTAAAACTGACAAAATTATATAGCCTAATTTTGAGGGAAAATTCTGACGTTTAAAATACAATTATGACATAATAAAATTCATAATTATTACATAGGAAGTTATGACATTGTCAACTTTTCAATGGTCTTATCAGAATTTATACTTTTTGTCTCTCAATTATGGCTTAATTATTTTGATGTCATAATTACGATTTTTATATAGCCCAATAATTTTGACTTCTTTGCTCATAAGTATGGCTTTTTATCTCATAATTTCGACATTTTAGCTCATAATTACGACTGAGTAGGCTATAACATAAATTCCGACTTTTTATCTCGTAGTAGGCTACTTCTCTCACAACTGCAAATTTGTATGGCATAATTATGTTTGTTTTTTTCTTCTTATGTGACGAAATGGCTTCCATAGGACATGAGGGTGAGTGAATGATGAAATCATTTACATTTATGGGTGACCCATTCTCTAAAAACGTATTATTTATTATTTCAAAAAGATCTAAACATATCACTCTCTTGTAGTCTACTTGCAGCGGTACCGGAATAATGATAAAATGTCATGACATTTTAGGGAGGTTTATCACAAATAAAGTGTTCAAATGGTCGTGATCCCGACTGGTTGGTTATTGCCGTGATCCTGGTTCACGGCTGATGCTGGCTGGTTATTCATATCACTCCACAAAACGTCGATCATTTAAAAGAATAAAGTCATATGAACATAAATCTTCCAACCGCCAGGCAGGTCACGTTACCTGCCAGAATTAGACTGCCAGCCACGTGACCTGCAGCCAGTTAGGGATTGAACCCCTAATGAAATGTAGGCTAGATGTGTTAGACTGAATGTCATGTCTGTGCATGTTACAGCTGCCGCCCACACATTTTTCTGTATGCTGTGTTGGCCTACATTATATTCGAACTACCTTATGTGAAAATCAAGGGAGATTATAGTTTAAGCAATAACTCATAGTTTATTCTTTCTGATTCTTATTCTAATGGTGCTTACTGTGCGTATTTAGCTAGATTACTGTACGTAGGCCTATTTTTTAGTTTCTGTTAGCCTATGTTTTTGACAAAAGGACGTACTTTTCATATGAAAACTAAAGTAACATACACTTAAAACTGGATGTTGGTGTTAACCTTAAAGTTATTAATATAATGAGAATCATACTTACTTTGACTGATTGACTTGTTTGAGCTGTTCACCTCTGAAGTTGATGAGACGTGAAGAAAAATGAGGAGACAGAGAAAAGGCAATGGAGTAAATACAAAAAATGGCATGGCGCCGAAACCTCAAGTTTCTTTAAATAAAAGTTTTAAGTATTTTTAAAAGGTTTAAAGGTGAAATCCCTCCCGTCTAGATTATTTTCTAGCGGTGTGCTATTCAAAGGTTTTTCAGGTGAGAAGAACCGGTCCACTGCGCTTCTTTACCGTTTACCCTCTATTTTTCCGCTTAGCGTTTGTCTCTTGGTATGTTAAACAGAAAGTTGTTTTAATAGTTTTCTTATCTTGTGTGGTTTCTCATTCCGCCCCCTCGTGAGTTTAGACCAATCAATGAGATCTCTCTTGACTGTTCCACTCTCTGTAAAGATGTTAAACAGATTTGAGTCGCTTCCTCAAAGTTTACATATTCTCCCCTGCTTTAGGCTACTTCATATGGGTATAATTCAGGTTGTTTGAAATTATAATAATCATAACAAAATTATTATGATAAGATAACTGACTACTTTTTTTTGTATATGGTCAGTGTTGGAATTAAAAAGCCAAAGGCTAATTTACGGTGAGAGACGCTGGAGATGTTTCGTTATGTTTATGAGTAATGATTTTTGTATAGGCATATAACTTATATAACGTGTGCCTGCATTTATATTTAAGGCCTTTAGTGGGAAAAGTTACTGTAACACAGCCTAACAACATTCTGGAATGTCTCATAACCGCACCTGTGTACCAAACAGGAAGAGATAGGATAGGGAGGAAATGAAAGTGGGAAAATGTCGGTTTTTGGTGTTGGAACCGAGTTTTCATCTCAATTATCACAATCTGAGAGGTATGAGTGATATAATTTTATTGAAATGTAGATTCAGACATTGAGCGCTAGATGGCGCAGTTGCTGCACTCTTGACATGCAAGATTGGCGTTATTATTGCCTATACATTATTTAAATATATATATATATATATATATATATATATACACACTTAATAATATATGATAAATGTAACTGTTGAAGGTACTGAGAGACAAATTAATCAGATACAACATATAGGCTACTAGTCAAGTCAAGTCACCTTTATTTGTATAGCACTTTATACAATACTGGTTGTGTCAAAGCAACTTTACAGTGTCAAACAGGAAAATAGTTTGTCAATGATGCAAGAAGACAATAACGGAGTCGTTTTTCCAGCTAAAGCCAGTTCATTGATGATTCAGTGATGTCATCATCCAGTTCAGTTATCTTCCAATAGTGTCTGTGCAATCAGTCAAGCGTCCCCAACTAAGCAAGCCAAAGGTGACAGTGGCAAGGAACCAAAACTCCATCGGTGACAGAAATGGAGAAAAAACCTTGGGAGAAACCAGGCTCAGTTGGGGGGCCAGTTCTCCTCAGGCCAGACGAAACCTGCATGACATGGTTTAATTTCAGGCTGCAACACAGGTGCAGAGGACTTGTCTGGTTCCCGTGGTCTTGAACCGATGGCCATCGAGGTGATGATATCGTCGCAGGGGATACTAGTCAAAGTCTAACTTGGAGTAATGCAACAGGAAAGGAATGGAGCTAGTGCTGTGAATTCTGACAGGAACTCCATCTTTTTGTTCGCAGTATACAAGCCAATTTCATGTGTAACGGCGCCCCTGTCTGAGAGTAGAAAAATAATTTAATTTCAGTTAGTCAACTGTTAGTTTCAGTTTTCCATTGTATCATGTCTGTGCATGCCATGTGCTGTTTCATGACTGTGCATGCATCAGCTCCTGGGGCCTCATTTATAAAATGTGCGCAAATTATTTCATCACATTAAGAACCGCTGGTCCACACAGAAGAAATCCCTCTGCCCCAGTACAAGTTGTGTCGAGCTATTCATTAGTCTGTTTGATGAGAAAAATATGAAATGTAGTTGCAATAAAATGGGTAATTAACCCTCTACCGCACACGCATTATGATAGACCTATAGAAAAAAACATTTCTAAGAATGGCTTAACTTGAAGTGCTGTAAAAAAAACAAATGTGGAAAAAAATATTATTTTAAGGTACTTTATGATATGTTGCCATACGGCAACAGCATACAATAGTGGATCTAACTTAGAATAAGTGTAAGCTTACTTATAATTAATATTTTTCCTCAGACCACTATTGCACAGTGTTGCCGCTTGGCAACGCATACATTTGAATGATTTACCAAAAACTAATTTTATAAAAACTTGTTTGAGAGGTGAATATGTCATCATAACATCATAACAGTGATGTTTTAGATTTTTTTGTAGAAGTGACACGGACTGGTCCTTGTTTGTTACTGACCTTTTAGTTTGCTTTCAGCAACTACCGACAAGACGGCAGTCTGTCAGAAATCTCGCCACAGAAAAAAAACTGCATGACATGTGACTTAATCAAAGCACATCATTGGCAACAAAGAGTATGTTGCCATATGGCTAAACCATGTAGTAGAGGGTTAATCCATACTGCAGCAGTGGAGGACTATTATTCTGCTGCCTGATACTGCGGAAGAACTGATGATGGCACGGTTTGCGCCCACGTGTAGATTCAAGCTGTTTATTCAATTTTCTACCCCTGAGCGAAAAAATAAAATTTAAGCTGAATTCTCCTATTTCGTTTTTTGGAAAAAACGAGCCGTTTTCTCATTTTTCCACTTTCAATATTAAATAAAAAAACTAATGATACACGGATTGTCGGTCGGTGTACGTTTTGATTATTTCATCTCCTATTTGGAATGCAATAACGAGAAATGGAAAAACGGCTCGTTTATTCGTTTTTGAATTTTATTAGTTTTATTACATACTAAATTGGTTGATGTTTCTCTTCTTAGTCTTCTTTGTTGGGCTTGAGAAAGCCTACATATATTTAAACATTATTATTATTATTTATTATGAGAGTAATTGACACCGACTAGAACTTTAATGTTTCACCAAATTCAGCTCAGACCTTCAGACTCGTCTGACTCGTGTTGCTGTATCTTTTCTAACTGGTCGGACTTACCTTCCCAAAAAATCCTATTGACTTTCGTTATCTGAGCAATGAAGGCCTTAATACTTAATGTCCACTAGAGAGGGCGACAGGATTTAAAAAAAATAAGTCTACTTTTTTCCTGTTTACATCAGTTTAAATGACAAATAAATACATGAATTTCATGTGTACTGCCATGAATATGCCATATCTGTGTACAAGAACAAGCTTCACACTTCAAGCTGTACAACTACTTAAAACTTCCCATTCTGGCTTTTTCAAACTATCTCCAAGTTTCTTTTAAGATATTGTTTATTCACACTGGTTTATGCATTTAATGTTTGTCCATCTGGAACTTTTATTTTTCATGAGCTCTATATTTTAAGATGTACTAGGTGTTGATAAATCACATGCAATGAATGTAAAGAGCTAATGTCAGGGCTCTCAGTCCTGCTCCTGGAGGGCCAGTGTCCTGCAAAGTTTAGCTACCCCAAATAAACACACCTAAGCTAAGCAAGGTCTTCAGGATCAGTAGCAATGTCCAAGCAAGTGTGTTGGAACTGGTTGGAGCTGAACTCCGCAGAACATGGTTCTTCAGGTTCAGGACTGGGTTTTATGTAAAATATCTATAAGTATTATAAATCTATAAATGAATTTGCACCGTTGGGTGTCTGCATGCAGAGGTGTACGTCAGTAAGTACAATGGAAAATGTAATCTGTAAAAACTTTATTCAATCTTCACAAAACATGCAAACAAAACTGCAATGTTTTAGAAAACTATCACATTTGCACATACCCTGCTTGAACCTTACTAACTGAACAAATTTTACTGCAGGAAGTGGAAAAAAATGCAAACTGTTCTACATAGAATTACACAAAACTCTTAGTGGCTTCAAGAACATTAGAACATTAGATGTTACTGCAGGAAGTGGGAAAATGCATACTGTTACACAAAACTCTTAGTGGCTTCAAGAACATTAGAACATTAGATGTTACTGCAGGAAGTGGGAAAATGCATACTGTTACACAAAACTCTTAGTGGCTTCAAGAACATTGGATAGGCCTGCAACTTCTGTGATGACAAAATCTTCAGATCTGCATTTAGGGCACTGCCTTGAGGTCTCCATCCACTGGTCAATACAGACCTTGCACCCCACCACACTCCTGCAGCATGAGGTGAATACAGGTTCTTCAATGATAGCTGGGGGGGGGGATATAGCCTACACGGCTATACCTATTATAAAGTATTTTTATAATATAAAAAGTCAACATTAACTGCAGCTGGTGCCAAATAAAAATGATTATGTTTTGGAAAACAGCAAGTCAAATGTAGAATAGGGGCCACACACTTGCACTGAATGTAGCATTGAATAGACTGAACATTAGCAATACCCATGTTACTGTTTTAGCACCATATTTGTTCCTTATAGTTTACTGTGTTTTGGTTAGGATATTTAAAGATGCAGTTTTTATGTGGGCGTACCTCTGCAGGTAAGACACATGAATGTTTCCTTTAAGATTGTCACTAGGTTTGCCCTATGTGCTGCTCCCTGTGTATTGGCAACAATCTCCTGAATCTGTCTGGAAACATTTTCCAAGCCATGAGAGGCCTCCAACAGCTCCTCGATTTGCGATTTGAGGTTCTGAAGAACAGAGGGATCAGCATCTCTGCGACTATAAAAAAAATTTTATATTACCACATAAATAATTTTCACTTATCCCTCCTTACTTCAAAACATTTCTTGAAAAAACTGGGGTTACAATAACGCAATTGAAGTGAATATGACAAATCTTAAAAGAAAATAGAAGTAAAAAAAAAAGTTATATGGAAAATAAAAATGATTATGTTTTGGAAAACAGCAAGTCAAATGTAGAATAGGGGCCACACACTTGCACTGAATGTAGCATTGAATAGACTGAACATTAGCAATACCCATGTTACTGTTTTAGCAGCATATTTGTTCCTTATAGTTTACTGTGTTTTGGTTAGGCTATTTAAAGATGCAGTTTTTTTGTGTGCGTACCTCTGCAGATAAGACACATGAATGTTTCCTTTAAGATTGTCACTAGGCTTGCCCTATGTGCTGCTCCCTGTGTATTGAAAACAATCTCCTGAATCTGTCTGGAAACATTTTCCAAGCCATGAGAGGCCTCCAAAAGCTTCTCGATTTGCGATTTGAGGTTCTGAAGAACAGAGGGATCAGCATCTCTGCGACTATAAAAAAAATTATATTACCACATAAATAATTTTCACTTATCCCTCCTTACTTCAAAACATTTCTTGAAAAAATTGGGGTTACAATAACGCAATTGAAGTGAATGTGACAAATCTTAAAAGAAAATAGAAGTAAAAAAAAAAAGTTATATGT